TGGAGGCCCGGGCAGTCCCTCTGTGGGTCTGCCCCCAGGTCCTGTGGGCAGTGTGGTGGTTTTCCGCTTGGAGGAAGAGCTGAGGGTAAATCACTCCCCAGCTGATCAGAGCCTTTAAATGTCTTCCACTCAGCCTTGGAAGCGGATCACCTCTCCTGTGTTCCGAGTTTCCTTCTCTTTAGCTAACAAGTTGCTTCTGCTTATCTTCTCTAGCCAATTCTTGGGCTGTTAAGTATGCAGGAATGCGTTTTTCCAGAGTAAAGTGTAGCTGAAGAGTCACTGGCCAGAGCCACCTCCAGGGCAGGCTGGGCAAGGTCACTTGGCTCTCATTGCCCGCCCCCACACCCCTTTCCAGCTAACCTTGAGTGAGTGAGTCTCCAGCCCAGCCTCTGGGCAGCAGTCTGATTGGTTTCCCTAATCAGCTCACTATCCAAGCTGTGCTGGGACTCTCAGCTAGAGGAAGTCGCTGAAGCAAACAGGAAGCGTGAGAGACACCCATCAGCTGGAATTGCTCACCCTTTCACCAGGAAGGACACACAGTATGAAGTGGGTGACTTCATGTGCTAGAGAAGAGATCCCACCTCTAGAGATTCTGATCCCGTTGGTCAGGGTTACTTTCTTAATGCCCAGGGTGATCCTGATGAAAAAAGTTTGAGACCTGCTAACCTGTAGTATCCAGAGCAGAGGAACCCAAAGCAAGGAAGAGTAGTGTTCTGCTTTTTCTTTCTCTTTCTCTTCTACCCATGGCCCCCGAACTGGCTGGGCATATGCCCATTATGACTGTTCACGGGGCTGGAGTATTTAGGAAATTGGACCCCTTCTGCCCTTTCATATGCATTGTGGTAAAAGGTGTAGCAGACCCCTTAGTCCTTGCAATCAACCTCATTTCCTGTGAAGATGTGAGATTAGGTTAAGTGTTCATTACCTGTGGCCTCTAAACAAACTGACTGTGGTTCTGATTGGGAGGGTGGGGGAAGAGGTCCCAGCAAAGAGCGTCTTTTGTCATAGGTCCAAAGGTGTACCCATTTCAGCAGCTTCATGAAAATATCCATGAGCGCCCTAGCCGGTTTGGCTCAGTGGATAGAGCATGGCTCATGGACTGAAGGGTCCTGGGTTCGATTCCAGTCAAGGACATGAACCTTGGTTGCAGGCTCAACTGTGTGCGGGAGACAATCAATCTGTTTCTCACATAGATGTTTCTCTGTGTCTCTCCCGTTCCCTTCCACATAAATAAATAAATAAATAAATAAATATATGGGAAAATATCCTCAGGTGAGGATTAACAAAAAAGAAAGAACATATTCAGGAGGAAATTTATCCTACTCATGTATTTTTCTTGACATTGAATAAACTGTGTGTGTGTGTGTGTGTGTGTGTGTGTTTTAATATTTTTGGCCCGTTCTGTATCTTATAAGAAACTTTAGCCACAACTTGATCTCTTCAAAAGAATGTGATTTTTCTGAAGGAAGACATTTACTATGCCATTTTTAGTTATAATTCCATCAGCGGACTGTGCCCGTGGATGATTCTCGCCATTGGTTCAGGAGGAAGGATTCCCACAGAGAGATTCCCTCCCCTAGGCGGCAGTCCAGATCCATGCATGAGCTCACCTGCTCGGGAGGGGCGGGCATCAAGCTTCCCGGGGCTCTGGGTGTGCCCTCTCCTGTCTTAGACACCCTCCGTCTAGGTGTGCCCTTCATGGCAAAATCAGCCGCCTCCATGCTTCATCGTCCGGCAAGGTTCTCCAGCTGTTCATGTGATCACCAAGGGGGGCCAGGAAAACCACGGGGCAGCAGGCCGTAAAAAGTGCTGGGTGTGCCGGCTGAGGTGTCTCTGGTTGGACGGCAGGACCAGCTTCCAGACAGAACATATCACCAGCCAGTTTGTGCCAGGCGGAGCACCTGCAGCTCTTTACAAAATGCAGATCCCGGGCGCGCCGCCAAGCCTTCCCCGGAACCTCCAGGGGCTGGCGCACATGTGATTGTGATTGTGATGTGCAGACAGAGTTGAGAACCCCTGCATAAGAGTGCTTTCCTGTCCTCTGACTTGTTAAAAAAAAAAATCAGATTCTGCCCTCACTGGTTTGGCTCAGTGGATAGAGCGTCATCCTGTAGCCTGAAGAGTCCCAGGTTCAATTCCGGTCAAGGGCACACGCCAGAGTTGCGGGCTCAGTCTCTAGTGTGGGGTGTACAGGGGGCAGCCGATCAATGATTTTCTCTCATCACTGATGTTTCTATCTCTCTTTCCCTCTCCCTTCCTCTCTGAAATCAATAAAAATTTTTAAAAAAATAATAATGCAAGCATTAAAAAAAAAAAATCAGATTCTGTGTGGGCAGATTTGGAAACCCACTGGTTTGACAGGAACAAAACTTAGATGTTAGCTCTATTTTTCTTGTCTTATAGGTTCCGGTAGCCAGGGTCCCAACTGCTTTGGGGTTTTGTCTGGTTGATTTTTGGAATCGGAGACTTCATAATCTGTTTCCCTCCCCCACTCACTCATACCTCCTCCTCTAGTGCCCCAGCCACACTGTCAGTTGGCCAAGATTCTGTCACGTGAATTTGTGGTAATAACCAACTTGTAATTCCTGCATGGTTTCCCTCTGTTGCAGTGGCCCTGAGTGGCTCCTCCCTCTGTTGGGAGTGCTTAGAGAAGGGAGAATCACCGGGATTGCTGGAGCCAGACCCTGCTGGGCCGGCAAAGCTGCTGCCACACAAAGAGTGTCTCATTCACCCAGCCACCCAAAACCTGACACGAAGTGGGCATTGTCTCCATTTTTCTCCCCCAGCAGGGAGAGTGGCAGGGAGACAATGAGCATGCAGGCAACCCAAGGTGGCGGACGAGACTCTATCATCTGTTTGCTGGGTGCCTTGAGCGGGGCGGGGCATTCAATGCCTGGACGTCAGGCTATTCGTCTGAAAAGCCCTTGTTTTAAAGGTTAGAGTAGATAATGGTTGTGCAAGTGCTCAGCCAATGTTACCTGTTCCTGAGAATTATTTCATTTGGTAAGCACTCTGAATTCCCAGTGTGTACATAGGCATTGCGAGGAAGGCATCTCAGAGAAGCCAGAAGCACAACTCTGTCTCAAGGGCCATAGAGTCTTGCAAAACGGTTGATGGGAGCGAAAAGAGAAGGCACCTTAGACTATAAAAGATTTCAAAACTGGCACTGCTTGTCCCTAATTGAGATTCTCCTCCCTCCGCCCTTCATTCTTCCTTCCTTGTGCTCTTGGGAAAGAGGTGGCCCCATTTCAAGCCTCTTTTCCTTTGGTGCTGCCCAGAAGGGAAACTCTTGTTCCTGGTCAGTGAATCATTCTTCCTGAAGCTCACTTTTTAAACACGGTGCTGGGAGAACTTGGACGTGAAAAACGATTTGAAGTTGCGCAAAGCGAGCCCTTTGCTGTTGGCTTCTCACACCGTGTGGACCACTGCTTCCTACAAACACCCGCCTCTTGCCTCTTCGTGCACAGCCTGTCCTGTCCTGTCTGCACGGGAATGTGCTCTCCTTGCTCAGGGCAGGCCGGGGCCTCCTTGGGATCCTGTTCCAGAGACCCCCTCCTGCACACACTCTATTCATCAGAATCTTTTCTTTGCAACCTGAGTTCAAATTCAGTGTGCAGTGTTCAGGTCATGACATCTACTCACAGTACCTATTTGCAAAGCACTGTATGTTCTGATAGCTTTTAATATACCTCTTCTAGAGGCATCTGAAGATAGGTTCCTCATCCTTTGCAGTTCCAAACTTAAAAAAAGAAAGCTTACACCTCCAAAGCTATCACAGCCCGAGTGACTAAGATGTCCTTGCCGGAACGCCAGCTGCTGGGGCGCAGATCTTGGTGTGCCGTGTTTGTCTCCGCCCTCCCATAACTCCCCTTGTGCTTCCTCTGCGTCACCCTTTTTCTCTGCCAGTAGAGGATGGAACTGAGGTCTCTATTTAAACGAGAAGTTTGGCAGCCGTTCTGACCGCCAGCAGAGCTCTGGCTTTGGTGTGTGTTTGGTTTTGTGTGTGTGTGGTTTTTTAATGCGTGTGAGACCTCTGGCCCATAAAAATGAGAGAACTGTGGGGAAGAGGCTCAGGATGAGACTTGGATTCCAGTGCACAGTCCAGCCTCAGACTGAGAAAGTTGGTCAGTCCTTTTTTTTTTTTTTTTTTTTTTTAATATTTTTTTATTGATTTTTTTACAGAGAGGAAGAGGAAGGGATAGAGAGAAACATCGATTAGAGAGAATCATTGATTAGCTGCTTCCTGTACAACCCCTGCTGGGGATGTGCCCGCAATCAAGGTACATGCCCTTGACCGGAATCAAATCTGGGATCTTTCAGTCTGCAGGCCGACGCTCTATCCACTGAGCCAAACCAGTTTTGGCTGGTCATTCCTCCTGAAGATGGCAGGTCAAAGGGACTATTTTAATAACAACTTGCACTTGGCCAGGCCCTGGTCCCTGAGCAGCCCCAAGGCTGAGGAGCTTTCTCTCGGGACTCCCCTGCTTGGCTTCCCTCTTGGCTTTGCACAGAGGTGGGCTGTGGTTTTAGCCACCGGACTACAAGTTCATTGTTTGTTGACCTAGATCCTAATGTCTTCCTGGGCGATGTGTTTGGTATCCAGAGCCTGTTGATTCCACTGTCACCAGGCTGCCACGAGCCCGTTCCTCTCCTGTGTGTTTATCTGTGTGTGAATGGACACATTTGGGATCGGGAAGGCAGTGTGTTTGCTCAGAAGCATGAGCCAAAAGTTGGAAGACCACTTTTCTCTTGACCACTCAGATGGCTGTAGAGCAAATACATGTGTGTTACAGCTTATACAAAGCTCTTTTCCTAACATCAGAGAGGGCAGAGGGGGAGACCTGTGATCTAAGAAGGGCTCACTGCACAGCGGTCTCTGGACTAACCCAGTATTTCTGGCTTCTCCCCTGCAGTTGGAGGCCCCCCCGTCCCACTAAGTGCCTCTTCGCGTAGCACCGGCCCCGCCCTCGCTCACTGGTACCGCTGCAGCAGGACGGGCCATGGCGGGCCGGGGAGGTGCAGCACGACCCAACGGACCAGCTGCCGGGAACAAGATCTGTCAGTTTAAGCTCGTCCTGCTGGGGGAGTCCGCAGTAGGCAAATCCAGCCTTGTCCTCCGCTTTGTCAAGGGACAGTTCCACGAGTACCAGGAGAGCACAATCGGAGGTGAGTGGACGCAAGGGAGCAGGGAGGTGGCCACAGGAAGGCCATTGAGGAGAAGGAAGCTGCCTGTCCGGAGAGACTGAACACCCCGCTCCTCCTCTGGGCCCTGAAACAAATTCCAGTAGCTGGTCTCCGAGCCCAAGTCCCCAGAAGCTTCTAGTGAGGATTAGCTGGGAGCCACCACTGACTTCCTCTCCTGGTTCTGCCTCTTCACTGTGGTGTGGCTTTGGCGAAGACCCTTCCGCAGACCCAGCCTCCGGGAAGGGAGAGGCTGAGCCTGGATTCTTGCGGGTTCTTCTGACTTTGTCAGGCCATGCATCTGCCCTGGCCTCTCCCGCTTCCCAAAATGGGGAAATGGTCTGGTGAGTGGCTGGCATTTCTGAAGCTGACCTTTCCTCTTTCTTGAGTAAAGAGCCTCTTTGATTTCCCAGTGGTCAGCATTTAGGTTGTAAAGGTCTGAACTCAGCCTCTTGCCTTAGTAGCCAATACAAGCCTTGAGGGGCCAGGGTCGACCTTGGGCTTGAGTCATCTTTTCTCTACCCTCCTGGTTGGTAGGAGGTTTCCAGGCAGCTGGAAACAAAACGGGCCGTGTCAGCAGACTTCTGCTGCCTCCTCAGCACTCGAGTCAGGAGCCGGAGAGGGGAAGTGGGGTGATGCCCCGTGTCTTCGGAGAGGAGGGGCGAGGCAGATGGGAGAGCAAGCTTTCAAAAACAGAGCTCTCTGATGGGTCCTGGGGCCAAGGGGACTCCCACCCGCCTGTGCCAGCTCCTTGGAGCGTATACACAAGTGCCGCACGTTCCCCTGCCTCCTCAGGACAGAGAGAGGGCCAGGTGTTGCCTGAAGGTCAGGCCACAGGGCGGTCAGTCAGGAATGGGTTAGGTCAGAGTGGGGGTCGTGGCTAGCCCAGTGTACCTGGAGGTGGCAGGGGGGTTAGGAAACTGGCCACCGAGCCACCTCCGGCAGGGGAACAGCGTGTACTTTCAGGCGTCCCCAGCACAGCTAAGCGTGTAAGTGTCCTCAGGAAACAGAAGGCCAGTGACACCCTGGGCTGGAGCAGACAGGGACTCGCGAGGTTTCCAGCTGGGCTGTTCTCCGAGGGCAGGGAGGAGGAGGGAGGAAGCGGGTGGGTCGGCCCACCCTGCTGAGCTTCGAGTCAGGTTTCCCCTGGGCTTCTGTCTCCCGCCCCGATTCCTCTTCCTTCAGAGAGTGCCCCTGAAGTGGCCAGGTGCAAGCAGGCGTTCCTTCTCCTGCCCTTGCCTGGTACATGCTGCACCCCCCTCGAGACATGTACAGAAAGACAAGCTCTGCCTGTCCTCGCAGGCTGCTTCTCTGTGCCCAGCTCTTTCTTGCCCCGTAACTCCACCTTCCCTCTTACAGCGGCCTTCCTCACACAGACCGTCTGCTTGGACGACACAACAGTCAAGTTTGAGATCTGGGACACGGCTGGACAGGAGCGGTATCACAGCCTCGCCCCCATGTACTACCGGGGGGCCCAGGCTGCCATCGTGGTCTATGACATCACCAACACAGTAAGGATCTTTCCTTTGCTTCTTGGTCCTTGTTTCTGGACATGGTCTGGCCTGATTTCCTCGGTGGTTTGGGGGTGTCTCGCCAGAGTCTTCAGGCTGGCGACCTTGCAGACACCTGGCTCTGCCGTGTGGAGCTTCTCTGGTGTGTGGCCTGGGCAGGATGCCTCCTCAGTCCCTCTGACATTCCGGCCCTGTTTTCCCAGGATACGTTCGCACGGGCCAAGAACTGGGTGAAGGAGTTACAGAGGCAGGCCAGTCCCAACATCGTCATCGCGCTGGCGGGTAACAAGGCAGACCTGGCCAACAAGAGAGCCGTGGAATTCCAGGTATGGGGGATGGACCGGCCCGGGGGGAGGAGGGAGCCAGCGGCGTGGCTCTGCCCAGGCTGCTCCAGGCTGCAGGAAGGGTGACATTGTGAGGCGACGGGGCTTTTATCTGCTGTCCTCTGTGACTGGAGCCCGGGCTGAGAGGAATTGCCTTGTTTCTTGGCAGCAGGTGTGTGTGCATATGGATAAAGTCTCTGCTTATTTTCCTGTAAACTTTTAAATGAAACTTACTGTAAAAGAATTTTTTTTTCCACATAATACATGCACATAGTAAAATTTAAATAGTACAAGAAGGTATATAGAACTAAATTTAAGTCTCTAACCTAGAAACTCAGTCTCCCTTCCCCCAAGCTCCGCAGTTTCTGTTCTTTCCAGAAACATGCACAATGTGTGTAAATCTCTTTTTACATAGATGGGGATGTGTTTTAATTTTTTTTACCAGTCCCAATCTTTAAGGTTGTTTTTAATAGCAAGAGACGGAAAACAATGCTGTAGTCAATATGTACACACTTCTGTGCTTTGTTGTTGTTTTTTTAATGTATTTTTATTCAGAGAGGAAGGGAAAGAGAGAGATAGGAACTTCAATGATGAGAGAGAATCACTGGCTGCCTCCTGCACTGGGTATTGAGCCCACAACCCAGGCATGTACCCGACTGGGAATCGAACCGTGACCTCCTGATTCATGGGTGAATGTTCAACCACTGAGCCACACTGGCTTTTGTTCAAATGTGCAACTGTATTTGTAGGATAACTTTCTAGAAGTATTTCCTAGCCCAGTGGTTTTAAAGAGCAAGAGGTAGAATGGGCAGAGGGACACCTGGTAAAGCCTCCGCCGGTGTTTGTGAGCTGAGAGGTGCTGTAGCTGAAGTGGGGAACAGCGCGTACGGTGCACATGTCTCAGAGGAGCCCAGAGTGGAAGGCTGTGGGCCTGGAAACCCCTGCATTGCCTCTGTTGTGTATGAGGCACTGTAATCAGGGAAGACTTATTTTATTCTGGGCCCCAGCCCCTGCCAACTCAACATTTTCCTCCCACCCGCTTTCTCAACTCCATCCAAATCAGGAAGCACAAGCCTATGCAGACGACAACAGTTTGCTGTTCATGGAGACATCAGCAAAGACAGCAATGAATGTGAATGAAATTTTCATGGCAATAGGTAAGGTGCCTCTCCTCTCCTGCTCTCACTGAGTTACAGCACTTGCCTGCTGTTCTGTAGCAAGTCTGTGGAGTCCCTTCATCAACAGACCTTCCGCTATTTTCAGTATTCTGATAAAATCATTTTCTTTTTCATCTAACTCTCAGATGTAGATAGTTCATCCCAGAAGTTTCTAAAACTTGGACTAAAGTCTCAACATCTCACTTCCTTACTGTTAAGCTTGCCACCCACCTAAAACCCGGTTTCTCCATCCTACTCACTACTTAGGATTTTTTAACCCATCTAGCTCTGAAGTCAACCTGCTTGGTTCAAGTTCTAGCTCTTCCACTTATAACTCGGGTCTTAAGTCACTTACCCTCTCTCTGCCTCAGTTTCCTGAAACACTCAGAATGTACCTGACACACAAAAGTGAAGCCCTCAATATGGACTTGGGAGACAGTATTATAATAGAATACCCCCACAAACACTTGTTCCCTTCTCTCCCAAACAGCTAAGAAGCTCCCCAAGAATGAGCCCCAGAATGCACCTGGTGCTCCGGGCCGGAACCGAGGCGTGGACCTCCAGGAGAACAACCCAGCCAGCCGGAGCCAGTGCTGCAGCAACTGAGCCCCCCCTTGCCTGCCCACTGCCCCCACCTCCTCCGCCTGAACAACCTGACTGGAATCCACTCTAACCAATCGCACTTAACTACTCGGGCCACCGTGGGGGGAGGGGGCAGAGGGAGGGGGTCCACCATGATTTCTCCGTATAATTTTGTTCATAGGCCGGAGTGAGTTATTCCACCTGCACCTTTCTGTAAAAATACTAATTCAATTTTAAGTCTTAAGTCACTTTTTTAATATATATGATCTCTTCCCACTACCTGCCCTTTCTGCTGTTCTCCCACTCTCCCTCCGTAGCCACATGCTCCTGTTTCCTCGCCCTTACATATGGGGAGGCAGGGGTTAGAGCAGTACCCTCGTTTCCTCTTGCTGATTCACTGGGCTCAGCAAGAGCATCCACAGCCTTCTGTTTGGCGTGTGCTTGGTTCTGGGCCACGGGGCAGGCCTAGGGACTAGGGAAGGGAGAGACAGCTCTTCCCTTAGCTGGCTGGCTGGCATCAGGCTGCCGTCCCCCCTCACCCCTGACACACAGTTGGGAGAGAAACCACAGCATTATTGTGACAGCCATGAACCCATTGCCCACAGCCCACCCCAACCCCCTCATCCTTGGTCACCCTGACCTCTGGCTCTGAGCCCTGTTCTGACCAAATCACGATGATGAGTATTTGGGGGTGGGTGGGTAAGGGGGGAGTGGGCGGGAATGGAACCAACTTTTTCTGTATTTTGTATTGTATGTTTTCTTCAACATGTAACCAATCAGTATCTTGTCAATATAGTCAGCCAATGGATTGACCTCCTGCTTGTCTTGTCTTTCTCTGGCAGAATTTATCTGACTTCATCCTCTCTAGCTTACTTGAAGTTAATTTAAAATGGACCACTGAATCTTGTTAAACAAGTGAGGAGGTACTGGTGTCTTGGTAACCAAGAAAAAGAGTTGCTTACTGTTACCAGTACTAATGGCATGGGAGTTAAGAGTGACCTGGAACTGAATCTCACCAAGTTTGAAGTGACGGGTCCTGCATTTTCCTCTCCCTGACCACCTCTAGAATATATTAGGGTGGTGATTGTGCAATCCAGATTTGAAAATATTTGGTCTCAAAATCAAAAACACACAAACACACACACGCACACACACAGTTGGCCTCTGGAACACCAGAAACAAGCTCTTTGGGGTTTGGGGTGAATCAGTATCGGGACTGAGGGAACGGGTTCTCTGCCCTCTTCCCTGAAGAGGAACACCAATGACCTGGAACTTTGGACTGATCATAAGGCCGAGACACCAGGTCCAAGCCCTCTGGCCTCTGGTCTCCAGCAGGCCCTCTGCTGGTTCTGGAACTAGGGCACTCTTGGGCCCTCCTGGCTCTCTGCTGCTCCCTGCTGGCGCTGCTGCTCTCAGCCCCCAAGGGCTATCGGTCCAAGCAGACCCTTAAGCAGAGCCGTGCTGAGTAGGACCACACCTTACCCCCCAAATCCCAGCCTCTCCCAGGGCCACCACTTGAGGTGCCTTTCTGGCCTTTCCCTACCACCATCATACTTCCACCTCTGACCCCAACCCCAAGAAGAGACCGCGGACCGAGGGCTGCTGCTCACTGTGGCGGTTTATTGGGTCAGGCTAAGTTGGAACCCTTAGAGCCGTGACGCCTGGGTTTCGAGGAGTGTCCGGTTTGGGCTTCAGGGGAAGGCAGCGCTCCGCCCTGGCCTCGGATCCACAGCTGGCCCGAGGGTGTGAGGCTGCAGGTCATGGCGGAGGCATCCACGTTCGGCGGTAGTAGCATCTGGCATTGCAGCTTCTGCGCCATGCGGTAGCTGCTCCCGTCCGGGCCGTAGCTCTCCTTCTGCCGCTGGCCCGTCACCGACAAGCACTGGCCGTCCACTTGCACCAATAGCTCCTCGGGGCCGTAGCCCTGGGCATCCATCTTCATCTGGAAGCTGTTCTCCACGTGGACGTTACTCCGCACAGCTGGCACATCATCCCGGATCTGCTGCACCGGCAGCGTGACCACCTGGTTCTGTTTGGTGAGGGTTGTGCTGGGAGACCTGGACGCCACCTGGCCCCCTTTGGCGAGACCGCCACCGCCCCGCTGCATCCGAGTGAGCAACTGCTATCTGAGGGCACGAGGCTCTGGGTCTAGCGCTCGCCCCGCGTGCAGACGCAGGATCTGAGAGCGGAGGGGCCCCCGCGCGCTCCCCTCCCCCCCCCCCCCCCCCCAGCTCCGCTCCGCTCAGCGGGACTCCCTTCCCTGCTGCAGAGTCAGAGCTCAGGACCAGCTGTGCACTGCCGACCTCCGAGGTCAGGCGGTCACTCGCTCTGGCATGCCCGCTGCTGCTTTATCCTGGATCCTTTCTTGGGCCCCTGCCCACCTCCGTCAGAGGGTCCAACTGGATACGATGATAAAGGAGGCCCGAGTCATGACCGGAGATGGGGAAGTGGGCACATCTTTCTGGCTTCCTCCATCCATCCTGGGCCTTCTATGCTGCAGGTTTGGGCTGGGCTCAGGGACCACAACCAATTAAGATGCGGCGCGGCCCTCAAGGTTCCCAGGATGCTGAAAGAGAGCCATTCCCAAACATGAGGGAAAACTCCCGCCCTCCTATGCCTCTACTTCATCCCCACCGTGGCAGCCATGTTCCTGACCGCCACCATGTCTCTGGTACTCATCACCTTCATAATAAACCCGTTTTATGGAAGCACAAAAGAGTACAGCCTTATTATCCCAACAGGTCAAGAAATACAACTGCTGCTGCTTAATCTCCGTAGCTGAAGTTCGTCTCCGGAGACATATGGGTCAGGGACCGGGGTAGGGGTGGGAGGGGGGTGTGCGGGAAAGCCGACTGGACCTCAGTCCCCAGGCCTGCACGTCACCTGCGGGGCGTGCGAGGAGGGCAGAGCCCACGAGTCCCCCCACCAGATCCCCGAGAGGACAGCGATCTTGACAACCCTGGAAGCCTTCAGGAGAGATTAACGTTGAGGAGGAATTAATGTGCGGTGCTGGTTTGGGCCTCATTTGGCTGCCTGGGCCCAAGAGACAGGATAGAAAAGTCTGGAAGGTGGAGGCCAAGGGAGCGGCGGTGGAAGACTACAACTCCCATCAAGCTCTGGGGCGGGACGCCTGCGTACTGCGCGCCCGTTGCCCATGCGGCCCTAGGGCAGGGAGCGCCGCGCCGCTCCGCTGCGGGGGAGGCCATGGCGGAACCTTCCCAGGCCTCGACCCCGGCCCCGGCCGCGCAGCCCCGGCCCCTGCAGTCCCCAGCCCCCGCCCCGACCCCGACTCCTACTCCCAGCCCGGCTTCGGCGCCGACTCCGGCTCCCACTCCGGCACCTGCCCCCGCTCCAGCTGCAGCCCCAGCCGGGAGCGCTGGGGCGGGGGGGCCCGGAGTAGGAAGTGGGGGTACCGGGAGCGGGGGGGACCCGGCTCGACCTGGCCTGAGCCAGCAGCAGCGCGCCAGCCAGAGGAAGGCGCAAGTCCGGGGGCTGCCGCGCGCCAAGAAGCTGGAGAAGCTAGGGGTCTTCTCGGCTTGCAAGGTGGGGGCGGGGCCTGGGCCGGGGGGCGGGGTTTGGGCCATCCTAGGGCTCGGGTGGCGATGGAAGCGAAGCTCTGGCTGGGGACAGGCGCCTCGCCCCTGGGATACACACACGCAGGCTTGTTGGCTGACCCTTCTGCCTCCAGGCCAATGAAACCTGCAAGTGCAATGGCTGGAAAAACCCCAAGCCCCCCACCGCACCCCGCATGGACCTGCAGCACCCAGCTGCCAACCTGAGTGAGCTGTGCCGCAGCTGTGAGCACCCCTTGGGTAAGGCAGGTCGTGCCCTGGGAGCCGGGGCGGGGTGTGGGGGGGGGGCGAAGCAGGTGCTGGCTCCTGCTTGGACAGAATGACTTAAGTGCCACAGAGCTTCATCTTTTAAAAACCAAAGGTGCCTAATAAGGAGATACTGGGTTGGGGTGAGGGGGAGAAAGGAAATCTGCCCATACAGAAATACCAGGAGTCCCCCAGGGGCCGACCCAGGAATAGTCAGGCTCGTTTCCGGTCAGAGAGGGACCGGGGTGTGTCTTGGCTGGTGACGAAGAGGGGCAGGACGTCCTGTTGACCTCTTCTGCCCATTTTCCCCAACTCGACCACCCGTTCCTGCAGCGGACCACGTGTCCCACCTGGAGAACGTGTCGGAGGAGGAGATTAACCGGCTGCTGGGGATGGTGGTGGACGTGGAGAACCTGTTCATGTCTGTCCACAAGGAGGAAGACACCGACACGAAGCAGGTCTATTTCTACCTCTTCAAGGTGAGCTTTCCCCGCGTGCACGTGAGGGAGCTGAGGGGTGGAGGCTGGTGGGTCTGCCGCTCTGGATCTCTGCTGGCCTCTGCCCCTCCCTCTTCCTCTTCCTCCAGCTCCTTCGGAAGTGCATCCTGCAGATGACCCGGCCCGTGGTGGAGGGCTCTCTGGGCAGCCCCCCGTTTGAGAAGCCTAATATTGAACAGGTGGGATGAAGAAGGAGGCGAGAGAATGGTGGGGGGGGGGCATCTCGGAGGAGAGAGGAGACTGTGTTCTCCATCCTCCTCAAGCGGGAATCAGGGGAGAGAGGTCCCGAGGAGGGAGGATGTGTTGTGCTAACCTCAGTGTGTGCATAGGGGTTGCGAGGGGGCATAGTTTCTCTTCACAGAAAGCCTCGGGATGAGAGGAGAGCCTTGCCCCTGCCCTCAGGAAGCCCCTAGTTTTGGGTAAGAAGCCCACGCTGGCTGCTCACACCTCCTCCCCGGTTTTGCCCCCCCGCCCGCCCCCACTCAGGGTGTGCTGAACTTCGTGCAATACAAGTTCAGTCACCTGGCCCCCCGGGAGCGGCAGACCATGTTCGAGCTCTCGAAGATGTTCTTGCTCTGCCTCAACTACTGGAAGCTGGAGACCCCTGCCCAGTTCCGGCAGAGGTCGCAGGCCGAGGACGTGGCTGCCTACAAGGTCAATTACACCAGGTAGGCCCGGCCAGCCGCCGCCCGGGGACACGCGTGCAGGCCCGGCGGCCCCCGCTCTCACCGCCTCCCCGCCTCCCCGCTCCGCAGGTGGCTCTGTTACTGCCACGTGCCCCAGAGCTGCGACAGCCTCCCCCGCTACGAGACCACGCACGTCTTCGGGCGGAGCCTGCTCCGCTCCATCTTCACCGTCACCCGGCGGCAGCTGCTGGAGAAGTTCCGGGTGGAGAAGGACAAGCTGGTGCCCGAGAAGAGGACCCTCATCCTCACCCACTTCCCCAAGTAAGCCTCCTGCTGGCCTGTCAGGGTTTGGCCCCAAGTTCACATCCTCCCTGTTGTCCCCCCCCCTTTTTTTTTTTTTTCCCCAGGAAGGCTTCCTGGATTGGTCCCTCCGCTCCCTCCATAAGCCCTCTGGGATCTGGGCATCTCCCTGGACCACGTGCCCACAGCCCAGATGCAACTTGATAGCCTTTGCCTTATGTACTAGTCAGGGGATGGCAGATACATGGCCCGAGTGCTAACACGACTCCTGCCTGCACCCCTGGTGTCTACAGTTGGTGTATGTCTTTTTTTTTTTTTTTTTTTTTTTTTTTTAATATATATTTTATTGACTTTTTTACAGAGAGGAAGGGAGAGGGATAGAGAGTTAGAAACATCGATGAGAGAGATACATCGATCAGCTGCCTCCTGCACACCTCCCACTGGGGATGTGCCCACAACCCAGGTACATGCCCTTGACTGGAATCGAACCTGGGACCTTTCAGTCCACAGGCCGATGCTCTATCCACTGAGCCGAACTGGTTTCGGCTGGTGTATGTCTTACACCAGTTATTCCCACGGGCCCCGGACACAGCCTCAGAATCCTTCCCGCCACAGCACTCCAGAGCTTATACTTGAGGGAAAACCAATTTCCACTCCTCGTTCTTTCTAAAGGGCTTTCCTCCGTTCTGCCACCCCTTCCCCTCGCTGTAAACCTGCTCATAGCTGTCCAGTTCTGGAAGGCTTTCCTGAGTAATTCAGAACCTCCAGTGTCCCTTTTGCCAGCAGCGGGGAGTAAGGGGGCAGGAGGGGGTGGATTCTGACCCCCCATTTTGATACTGAGGCCCACGGTGATGTGGGACCCTGCCCGGTCACAGCACAGAGTGGCATCCGTTCAGACCCTGCCTCCCTCCGCAGTCCACAGTGGCAGCTGGGCCTCTGTCTCCCGGGTTTGTGCTGTCCTCCCACCTTCAGTGAGGGTCTCCAGGAGGGGGGCTGCACCTCCGCCTGGCTGAGGCAGAGGTCGTCTCTGTTCTCAGGCTCCCAGTTCCTGAGAGGAGGGCCGGTCTCTGACCCACCTCAGCCGCCCTGGTGTCTGGCCCGGGCTGCCCCCGCGGTCAGACAGAATTGTGGGACAGACTGCCCTCCCACAGGTTCCTGTCCATGCTGGAGGAGGAGATCTACGGAGCGAACTCTCCGATCTGGGAGTCAGGCTTCACCATGCCGCCCTCGGAGGGGGCCCAGCTGGTGCCCCGGCCAGGTATGTGCCACCGCAGGTTTTACAGGACCTCCACTCGGCCTTCCTGGCTGAGCTCAGGCGCCCCCGCCCTCCCCTCTCCCGTGGAAGAGGGGCTTCGAACAGCAGCCGTGGAGAAATGCAGGAGGGCTCAGCTGGGGGTTGGAGGGTCCAGATGAAAGGGACCCAACATCTTTGAAACACTACTTCCCCCTCCCCCCGATTCTCTGTCCCTCTCAGCTACAGTCAGCGCAGCCGTGGTGCCCAGCGCCCCCATCTTCAGCCCCACCATGGGTGGGGCCAGCAATAGCTCCTTGAGTCTGGACTCTGGAGGCGCTGAGCCCATGCCAGGTGCGTACTTGACCCTTGACGCCCACGCAGCCCTCCCCCAGCCGTCCCCCAGCCGTCCCCCATCCCCGGGAGACCTTGCCGACCTCCCCAGCAGGCGAGAAGAGGAAGCTCCCGGAGAACCTGACGCTGGAGGACGCCAAGCGGCTCCGTGTGATGGGCGACATCCCCATGGAGCTGGTCAACGAGGTCATGCTCACCATCACCGACCCCGCCGCCATGCTGGGGCCCGAGGTGGGCGGCCGGCCTGCTGGCCGGCAGGGGCAGGGAGCGGCCCTCGTGGCCCGGAGACCCTCGCTCACGACCCCTCTCCTGCTGCCCAGACGAGCCTGCTGTCGGCCAACGCGGCCCGGGACGAGACGGCCCGCCTGGAGGAGCGCCGTGGCATCATCGAGTTCCACGTCATCGGCAACTCGCTGGCCCCCAAGGCCAGCCGGCGGGTGCTGCTCTGGCTCGTGGGGCTGCAGAACGTCTTCTCCCACCAGCTGCCACGCATGCCCAAGGAGTACATCGCCCGCCTCGTCTTTGACCCGTGCGTCCCCGGGAGAGCCCAGCCCCAGCACCACGTCCGGGCGCCCGCCCGTCCTCGGCCCCCACGCCCCTCCCCCGGCCTCTCCCTCCAGCCTCGGGTTCCTCCTCCTCCTCGGTCCCCAGCCCTGAGTACAGCTCAGGCCTCCACGGCTCTGGGGCCCCGAGGAGCATTTGGGGGGCAGGTAGGGGTCACGACCTGCGTCCCCTCTTCCCTCAGGAAGCACAAGACTCTGGCCTTGATCAAGGACGGGCGCGTCATCGGCGGGATCTGCTTCCGCATGTTTCCCACCCAAGGCTTCACGGAGATTGTCTTCTGCGCCGTCACCTCCAATGAGCAGGTCAAGGTGGGTGCCTGCTCCCAGCCCCTGCCCCTGCCCCTGCCCCTGCCCCATCCCACCACCTGCTTCTGACTCAGACCGGATCAGAGTAGAGGATGACGCGCTGATGCAGCAGCCCCCAGCACTTCTTTTTAGTGGCCAGACAGTTCCTCGGTTCACCACAAGGTGGCACTTGTTCCCTGACAACGGTGGAGTAGGAAAACAACCTGTTGCCCTAGCTCGCTCCCTGGGTGGTTAGCTCCCTGGGTGCCAGTCCGCACACTGGAGGGTCTCGGATTAGATTCCTGGTCAAGGGCACATTAGACTCCTGGGTTGCGGGCTCGTTCCTGCCCCTATTCTGGGTGTGTGCGAGAGAGGCAACCAATCAATGTGTCTCTCACATCCACGTTTCTCTTCCCCTGTCTCTCTCCCCCCCTCCCCTCTTCCTTCCACTCTCTAAAAAAAAAATCAATGGGAAAAAAATCCTCACTGAGGATAAAAAAGAAAGAAAGAAAACACCTGTTGACAAATAGATCTTGAGAATTAGTCACACTTTTTTTAATCCTCCATCCGAGGATTTGTTTTTGTTCATTTGAGACAGGGGATCAAACCTGCAACCTAGGTATGTGCCCTGACGGGGAATCAAACCCTCCACCTTTTGGTGTGTGGGACGATGCTCCACCAACCGAGCCACCTGACCAGGGCGGAATCAGTAACACTTTTAAATGTCCCTGAGATGATGTCATCACAGGAATGTTTACACACTGTGGGAGTTACCTGTGTGGTAGCCCTGTGCTGGGTGAGAGTCCTGGCTTCCAGCCACTCACGATCACAGCAGTCCCACTAGCAGGGCCCCTGGTTCTCGGTCATGGACCCCAGCTTCAGCTCCGCGAGGTGCCCCTCGGTCCTGGCACGTGTGGGAGTCCGTGTCCCTTCAGGGCTCACGTGCTGCAGCAGGCATGGCCCCTGGTATTCCCCGTCTCGATTCGGAGGCCGGGGGCCAGGAACTAGTAGCCTGTGGACAGCAGCTTCCTGGTTGGGTTTGGCTCCTGGCCCTGCCGAGCCTGGCAGCCGGACCTTGGACAGATTTTCTCGTGGAGCTGAGTTTCGGTTTTCCTTCTGTAAGTTGGCCGCGGTGCCTGCCTCATGACTTAACTTGAGGCGTGGTCACCTGACTCAGAGCAAGTGCCTGGAAACCAGGTGTCCTTCAGTTTTCTTGTTATAACCTCCCTTCCTCTCCTGGTTGCCTTTCCTGCTGCCTGCCCTGGACCCCCTGGTATCCCCTCCTCCTGTCCAGTCTGCTCCCTCCTCCCTGGCCCTTCCGAGTTCTGTCCGCACCAGGCCTGCCTCTCCCCCCGGTGAGCCCCGTTTCCGCCCTGCAGGGCTATGGCACCCACCTGATGAACCACCTGAAGGAGTATCACATCAAACACAACATCCTCTACTTCCTCACCTACGCCGACGAGTACGCCATCGGCTACTTCAAAAAGCAGGTGACCCTCGCCTCCCCTGCCCCACCCCGCCCCACACTTGCCGGCCGCCTGGGGCAGGCGTCCTTCTGTCTCCCTGGTGTGGGTGGACTGGGAGTCCCTTCAGGCCCCTGTTCCATCAGGTACCCGCAGGGGCCTCCTTCCTGCCTTCTTCCTCCCTCCTGCCGCTGCCGCTGTGAATGCGACGGGGAGGGCAGCGGGGTGGCCGCAGGATGGGGGTTCCTGGGGGTTTGCTGGAAGGGGCTGACCTGGAGTCCTTCCAGGGACAGACTGAGCTTTCCGAGTGCAGAGCACTGTGCCGGGCACTGTCGGAGGGGATTCGGGAACCGGAGAGAGGGGACATGGCGTGCAGCCGCCCTGGGTGCTCCTGGGGGAGGGGCCGTTAAAATCGGAAAAGTGTTGCGATGGGTGGGGCCGTGTCGCCCACTCCCTAGGGCTTCTCCAAGGACATCAAGGTGCCCAAGAGCCGCTACGTGGGTTACATCAAGGACTACGAGGGGGCGACACTGATGGAGTGCGAGCTGAACCCCCGCATCCCCTACACGGAGCTCTCCCACATCATCAAGAAGCAGAAGGAGGTGGGGTGCTTTTTTGTGGGATGTGCACGTGGGGGGTGGGTGAGCACGTGTGTGGGATGAGCATGTGCGCCCCACGTCCACGCACGTGCGTGCATGAGGTAGGGCCAGGATCTTGGTCCTTGCTGTGCCTCTTGGGAAAGTCAGGAGGAGAGGCACCTCTGACTGGCCTGGGAGGGAAGTGGCTGGCGCTGGGGCTGGCCCCTCACACCCCTCCTTCCTCAGATCATCAAGAAGCTGATTGAGCGCAAGCAGGCCCAGATCCGAAAGGTCTACCCCGGGCTCAGCTGCTTCAAGGAAGGTGTGAGGCAGATTCCCGTGGAGAGTGTCCCTGGCATTCGTAAGCGGGGCTCTGGGGCGGGAGGGCGCGCCGCCTGGCGTGCGGACCGGCATTCTGAGGCATGTTCTCCGCACGCCCCGCTTTGCAGGAGAGACGGGCTGGAAGCCGCTGGGGAAGGAGAAGGGGTGAGTGTTGTGCGGAGGGACAGGGTGCTGGGGGAGGCAGGGGGACCAGGAGCCTCAGACTTGACCTCTATCGCCCCAGGAAGGAGCTGAAGGACCCTGACCAGCTCTACACAACCCTCAAAAACCTGCTGGCCCAGATCAAGGTGCGGAGCCCAGGCTCGCTCCCGGGGCCCCTGTGCCAGGGGCTGTGGCTCTCTGACCCGTGTGGGTGGGCGACGGTCACGAGCTGGGCATGGGCCTCAGGCGTCCTGGTCCCAACTCCGCTCCCCTCTCTAGTCACACCCCAGTGCCTGGCCCTTCATGGAGCCTGTGAAGAAGTCGGAGGCCCCTGACTACTACGAGGTCATCCGCTTCCCCATCGGTGAGGACACTCCTTCCTCCCATTCCGCCCGCCAACCCCGCTCCTGCCTCCCCGGCCGCGCGGGCCCCTGTGACCTGCCCTCTGTCCCGCCGCCCAGACCTGAAGACCATGACGGAGCGGCTGCGCAGCCGCTACTACGTGACCCGGAAGCTCTTCGTGGCGGACCTGCAGCGGGTCATCGCCAACTGCCGCGAGTACAACCCCCCGGACAGCGAGTACTGCCGCTGCGCCAGCGCCCTGGAGAAGTTCTTCTACTTCAAGCTCAAGGAGGGGGGGCTCATCGACAAGTAGGCCGGCCTGGACCTCAGCCTCGGCCGTGACTGTCTCCACCTCAGGCTCCGATCCGATCGCTGGGGAGGCCCCGGCGCCCAGCTCCCTCTCAGCCTGAGACACTCCGGCCCTGACCCTGCAGTCCTCTCCGGGCCCTCGGGCCCCCCCACGCCTGCAGCCCTGGGAGGGGTCTCCTGGGTGTGGGCTCAGAGCCTCTGCAGTGGCCGGTGGCCAGAGCGAATACCCTGCCCAGCTCTGGTGGCTCTCAGCCCCGGTCCCCGCAGAGCGGGCGTGTCCCACTGCGGTCCTGGGCCTGGCCCAGCCGCGGTCTCCTCAGGGAGACCATTTTAGCTTGAACGAGGGCTCCAGGGTTTGGAAATGCCACCCGGATTGGAGAGGCCAGGCCTTGCCCTGCACTGTTGTGTTCTGTCTGTCCCCAGGGGAGGGGGACGTGGGGACCATCTGTTTCCTGGCATTAATCCCTCAGAGGGATCAATAAAGCTCTTTTGTTTTTATCTCTGTGTGTGGTTGTCTCTTCAGTAGCATCCCACGCCTTAGCAGGCTGACCTATTCCTGCCGGCACCTCCCGTTGAGCCCAGGCTGTGCTGAGGACCCTCCCCTGCAGGCCTCACGCCTGGTCCCGGCCCCGGGCCCACCTGGCCGCAGCCTCCACTCTCCCTGCTCCTGGCTGATCCTGGCCCAGGTGCCTGGACGGCGGGTCCAAGCCTCCCCGGCTGCCTTTGCCTGGGTGACATGGGTACAGCAGACTCCACAGGAGTGATGGTGGGGGAGGGGGGGCGTGTTGTGAATGGTGCTTTCCTATCAGCAGCACCATTTCCCTCAGCCTGAGGCCCGTGAGGAAGAGAAGGCAAAGCTGAGCTCCAGGCAGCTGGGCTGGCTCCGCCCCTCAGTTTCAGTTTCCTTTTCTGTCGGCAGAGCTCAGCAGCAGGCATCCGGGTTCAGAGCAGGGCTGCCCTTGGCAGTGCGGGTGGTAAGGTGAGGCTGGGCAGAGCTCTGTCTTATTCCTGCCGCCCCCCCCCGCCCCCTCAGCCAGATCAGGCTCCTGGAAGGTTCCCTGTCCCACCTCCTCCAAGCAGGCTGGAGTCTTGGGTTAAGGGAGGTCTCTGCTCCAGACTGGGTTGGGTGGGACCCGGCAGGGGGCAGATCTGAGGGGGGCTGAGCTGAGTAGGGGGCCAGGAGGGCCAGGGGTCTGAGTCCCCTGCCATTCCCAGAATGGAGCTGCGATCCTACCAGTGGGAGGTGATCATGCCTGCCCTGGAGGGCAAGAATATCATCATATGGCTGCCCACGGGCGCCGGGAAGACCCGGGCGGCCGCCTATGTGGCCAAAAGGCATCTTGAGACCGTGAATAGAGCCAAGGTCATTGTACTGGTCAACAGGGTAAGTGGCCTGCCCCTCCCAACCCCCCTCCGTGGGCTCTCAGCTCCTCGGTGCCTCTCAAGACCCTTCAGAACTCCAGAGCCTCTGTGGCCATCTCTCACTCACCTTTTCACTCATCCCAGCCTCGGCCTCCACCCATCCCCTCCACCCACTTCCTCTCCCCATCTCACCCGCACCAGGTACACCTGGTGGCCCAGCATTATGAGGAGTTCAAGCGGATGCTGGATGGGCGCTGGGCCATTGCAACCCTGAGTGGGGACATGGGGCTGCGCCCCGGCTTTGGACATGTGGCCCGGAGCAATGACCTGCTCATCTGCACAGCTGAGCTGCTGCAGCTGGCCCTGAGCAGCCCCGAGGAGGACGAGCACGTGGAGCTCAATGGTGAGAGCTGGGTGCGCCCGAGGCACCCCTGCCTGCCACCCCCAGGGCCCCTTTTCTGGCAAAGATGGGGGATTTCGTGGGAGTGAGGGCTTCCCTGTTCACCAAACCCCAGCATGCACCCTAGTAGAAAAAGACCTGGCTGCAGTGCAGGATCTTGGGCAAATTCCTTTCTCCAGCTTGAGCCTCAGCTTACTAATCTGTAAAATGGAGGTAAATCCCCTGACTGCCCATTTTCTGGGGTCTGGCTGCAAATTGTGAAGGGAGGAAGGAATTCCTGGATGAATTCTGGGAACTGCATGAAACAAAGCTTATGGGACGAAGGGCTTTGCAAGCAGAGGTTCTTTCCCATGTGCCCCCAGCCTTCTCTCTCCTCGTGGTGGATGAGTGCCATCACACACACAAAGACACCGTCTACAACGTCATCCTGAGCCGGTATCTGCAGCACAAACTCCAGGGGACAAGGCCCCTGCCCCAGGTGCTGGGCCTCACGGCCTCCCCAGGCACTGGCAGGGCCACCAAGCTCAATGGAGCCATCGACCACATCCTGCAGGTCAGCTTGGCCCCGGTGACCTCCCCTCACCTGACTCACCAGGGACCTCCCTGGCTTGCCCTACCCCCTGCCCACCGGTCCCAGGCCGGCTCACCCAGGCAGGCAGGGTCTGGATCCCTTCCTCACCCAACTCCCAGCCTCCAAAGCCTTCTTAGTGCACCTGGAATAAACACTCCACTCTGGCTTAGAGGTTCCCTGTGACCTAGCCCCAGGGAACCTCATCCCCGCTCCTTCTCCCCCCCCCCCAGTCCCCCCTTCTCCCCCTCCTGCCACTGGCCTTCTCTCTGCAGCTTGAGCATGTCGAGCTTGTTCCCATCACAGGACTCTTGCACTTGCCATTCCTTCTGCCCGAATACCCTTCCCCCGTACTTACCTGTCTGCCTCCTTCTTGTCACTCAGGGAACAACTTAAATGTCACACCTTATAGCCTTCCCCAATCACCCCACTGCACTCGCCACATCGTCCATTTTACTCTCTTCGGAGCCTGTTAACACTGTCCGCAATCCTCTCATTCTGTTGTCCTTTACTGGTTTACCATTTTTTTTTTTTTTTTTACAATAAAATCTGTCCCCCCAACCGCCATGTGAGGCGCTCAGTACCCCCAGTACCTGGAACAGCGCTGGGCAAGCAATAAATATTTATGGAATAAACGAATTCCCACCCCCAGTGGCCCTGCCTCAGCTGGGACCCATCCTGCCCCAAAGCTCTGCCCATTGTCCCCACAGAACACCCCCGCCCGCCCCCCCCCCATCCAGGGAACCCCTCTCTGTTGCCCAGCTTTGTGCCAACCTGGACACGTGGCGGATCATGTCACCCCAGACCCACCTCCCTGAGCTGCAGGAGCACAACCGCGTGCCCTGCAAACAGTACGACCTCTGCCACAGGCGCAGCCAGGTGTGTGGAGGGAGGGAGGGAGGAGGGGCGGGGCGGGGCGGGAGTGCAATTAGGCCACCCGGGACTGAGCCTTGGCTCTGCTCTCAGGAGAGCTGTGATGTCACTTCTCACTTCGCTTGCTTATGTTCCTGAGCCTCCGTTTCTTCTTTCTGTGAAACGGGGCCCATCCTCCTGTTGGACATCTGTCAAAACCCTGGGCATGCACGCAGCGGAGTGCTTTGCAAACCACACAGCTGGGGCGCTTTGTGCTGAGGGTGTCCCAAGCTCTCCCCTGCGGTGTGGACACGGCCTGGTGTCTGCTGTGTCAGGCTGGACAGGGCCTACCATCCCTGTGCTCAGGCCGGAGGTCACAGCCACCTATGGGGTGGAGGCAGAGCAGGAGACAGGTGCGGGAACCTGACCCCCGCCTCCAGTCAGACCTCTGTCACACTGTGGCGGCACAGGAACTCCTTCACGCCCTCCCTCTGCTCGTAGGACCCGTTTGGGGACATGCTGAAGAAGCTCATGCAACAAGTACAGGACCGCCTGGAGATGCCTGAGCTGAGCCGGGACTTCGGGACGCAGACGTATGAGCAGCAGGTGGTGGAGCTGAGCAAGACCGGTGAGGAGGCCCGGGAAGGCCGCGCCCTCAGAGGGCGGGGCCAGCCTCTGGGGCGGGGCCTCGGCGGGAGTGGAGCCTGGGGGCGGGGCCCGGTCTCTGGGGGGCGGGGCCTCGGCGGGAGTGGAGCCTGGGGGCTGGCTGCTCAGATCCGGGTCCCCTGTGGGTGCAGCGGCGGAGGCCGGGCTCCAGGAGCGGCGCGCCCATGCGCTCCACCTGCGGCGCTACAACGACGCGCTGCTCATCCACGACACGGTGCGCGCCGTGGACGCGCTGGCCACGCTGCGCCAGTTCTACGACTGGGAGCGAGCCACCAAGACGCAGGTGCTGCGGGCGGAGCGCTGGCTGCTGGCTCTGTTCGACGGTGAGGCTCCCGGGGACCAGGGGGTGGGAACTGGGCTAGCGGTCAGTGGCCAGCTGGGCCCGGGGCTCGGCTCCAGCAAGCTGGGAAGGTGCCGGCAAGAGTTCTGGGGCCCTAGGTTTCCAACCAAAAGTCAAGGCTGTGGATAGGACAAAAGAGGGATGTGCTCATTTGTGAAGGTTTCCGTAGATGTAAAAACTAGTTTACGTTATGGACAAACACTTTTCTGTTTGTTTAGTATTTTATTTTATTTTTAAAATATATTTTATTGATTTTTTTACAGTTTAGGAAGGGAGAGGGATAGAGAGTTAGAAACATCCATGAGAGAGAAACATCGATCAGCTGCCTCCTGCACACCTCCTACTGGGGATGTGCCCGCAACCAAGGTACATGCCCTTGACCGGAATCAAACCTGGGACTCTTCATCCCGCAGGCCAACACTCTATCCACTGAGCCAAACCCGTTAGGGCAACAAATATTTTTTTGAAAATCATTTCATGGGACTCTTCCCTGAAAGTTGAACGTGTATGGGGAAGTGAGATGGTCAGAGGGTGAATTTAAGACTAGAGGCCTCAGCACAGGCTGAGGGGCAAGGGTCTTTATGAACAGACCTGAGGTTGAGTCAGTCCTGGGTTACATGAAAAGGTCAAGGGTCATCCTGGCAGCAGGGTTGAAGAGGGTGCTGCATAAGGTGTGTGAGCACCTAGACTTTACCCCGGGTAGAAGGCCGGCTGGCCTTGAGGCTGGGCAGGCGGAGGGTGTCCTTACCTGTGTTCTTGGTGCAGCGCAGATGCAATCAGGCAGGAGCAGGTAACGCCAGGCCCCCTCTGGATTCCTGCAACCTCACACCTGTGAGCCACGCACCCTCATATCCCGCCCACCTCCTGGCCTGAGTCCCATGCCTCTGACTTTTGGGCTTTTCTGGCAGACCACAAGGATGAGCTGGCCCGCCTGGCAACGCGTGGCCCGGAGAACCCCAAACTGGAGATGCTGGAGCAGATCCTGCAGAATCAGTTTGGGGGTCCAGGCAGCCCCCGTGGCATCATCTTCACCCGCACCCGCCAGAGTGCGCACTCCCTCCTGCTCTGGCTCCGGCAGCAGCCGGGTCTGCGGACGGTGGACATCAGGGCCGAGCTGCTTATCGGGGCCGGTAACAGCAGCCAGAGCACCCATATGACCCAGGTGTGGGCTCGGGGGAAGGGAACTGAGGCTGGGGGGCTCCCGAGGAGAGGAGAGAAGGGGAGTCTTTAGCACAGAGAGATGGGGGCAGGGGGCGGGGGGCGGGGCTGAGGAGGGAGATGGACACTGAGCTTCCAGGGGCTAAAGGTTTTCCCATTCTGCGGGTCTCTGGGGGCAGAGAGGCAGAAAGAAGGGGTCTGCAGGGGTGGAGGTGAGTGATGTCCTCAGGACAGAGGATAGGGGTCCGGGGTCCTTTGGAGAAGAATAAGTCCTGGGAGCTCCTAGAGTGCAGGGGCAGGGACCCGTAGAAGTCCCCAGGGGAGAGAGGGGTTAGATGCTCACCTAGAAAAATGGGCAAGATCCTGAGGGGGGACTTGGAGGTAGAGATGGAGACTCAGGGTCCCCCAGAAAAGGGGCTAACATTTTGAATAAAAGGGCTAACCCAGGAGAGGCTGGGCTTGCAAGAGGGGAGGCCCGAAGCCACCTCATATACCATCCTCTTTCTCCCCCCGCCTTCCCCCCCTCCAGAAGGAACAGCAAGAAGTGATCCGTAAGTTCCGGGACGGGACCCTGAACCTCCTGGTGGCCACAAGCGTGGCGGAAGAGGGCCTGGACATCCCCCAGTGCAACGTGATTGTGCGCTACGGGCTCCTGACCAACGAGATCTCCATGGTCCAGGTGCCCAGACCACCCCCTCAGCGTCCTCCAAGCATCCTGTGTGGGGACCCAGCCCCGCTCAGGCCCCTCTCCTCCCTCTCTCCCTCCCCAGGCAAGGGGCCGTGCCCGGGCCGATCAGAGCGTGTACTCCTTCGTGGCCACCCAGGGCAGCCGGGAGCTGCGGCGGGAGCAGACCAACGAGGTTCTCGAGGCTCTGATGGAGCGGGCGGTGGCTGCGGTGCAGCAGATGGACCCGGCTGAGTTCCAGGCCAAGGTCCGCGGGCGGCCTGCGCACCTGCGGGGAGGGGGGCTGTGGGCGTTTTGCGGTCTCTGAGGCACACACATTCACACCCCTGTGCCCACCTGGTGAAGGTCTGGATCCGGGAAGGGCAGAGGCCGAGGATGGGGTTGCCAGGAAGGCAATGGCTCTTTCTCCAAAATGCCTCGGGAACAGGCCTGGCCCAGGGCTTTTACTTTACCTTCCCCACCCAGTGCTTTGTGCATCTGTGAGAGCCGCCTCCAGCCCTCCCGGAGCCAGGCAGAGGGGGAGCAAACAAAGACACCCACAAAATAAGCCCCGAACCAGGACCTAAAGCGTCCCCTGAGGGGGGTCACCGTTGTCCAGCCTCGCAGGGCACGGTCCCTGTTTACGCCTGTTGCCCCGGCAGAATTACCGATGGTGCCTCCTGTTAGATCCAAAGCGGCAACTTCACACGAACACCTCCGAAGTGGGGTGAGGACTCAGTGAGAGAGTTTGCCTCGCTCCCTGCGCAGCCCCCCAACCCAGTAGTATTCCCCCCCCCCCCCGAGTTGCTTCCGAAAGCTCCCGGGAGGCTGAGGAAAGTCCCCCTGGGTACCAGCCATCGCTCTGAGGTCCTTAGAGGATTTCTGAGATCAGGTCTCCTGGGCCCCAGCCATGCCCGGTGTCACCTCCCTCCCCCAGATCCGGGACCTGCAGCGGGAAGCCCTGGTCAGGCGGGCGGCCCAGGAGGCCCAGAAGCAGACCCGGCGGCAGCAGTTTCCGGCCGAGCAAGTGCAGCTCCTCTGCGTCAACTGCATGGTGGCCGTGGGCCACGGGAGCGACCTGCGGAAGGTGGAGGGCACCCACCACGTCAACGTGAACCCCAACTTCTCGTGAGGCCTGAGGGAGGGGCTGCCTGGATGAGAGGAAGCGTGGGGTGCAGTGAGAGTTCCGGGCGGGGGGGAGGGTTGAAGAGCATTTGAACAAGTGCCACGTTTTCAGGTTTTGTCACTGCCCCGTTTCACAGGTGAGAAAACAGAGGCCCCGAGAGCCTCAGCGACATGCCCACGCTCCCGCAGCCACTCTGTGGTTGAGCGAGAGCTGGCATGCAGGATGCCAAACGCTGGGGGGCCGCACAGTGGCCCCTGGTCCTACGTACTCTGAAGACATCACGAGGGGCGGGGGTCCCTGAGCCAACCCCTCATCCTCCGCCCCCTAGCGGGTAGCCTTCCGCATCCTCCATTTGTTCATTGGTTAAGGAGGTATTCATTAGGCGCCTACTGTGTGCCGGGCCACTGTGCCCATGGCCTTCTCACGGGAGGGGGGGTGGTGCTGAGGCCTGAACTTGGGCAGAGGGAGTGGGGTGGAGGCAGCACAGGCCGAGCTTGTTGAGGTCTCTGTGCTTCTTGACAGACGGGGCGGCCCAAGGCCCCGCAGAGGCTCAGCAGGAAGGATGGTGAGCCGTCTGGGCTGGGGGTCCCTGAGGCCTGTGGCCACTCCCGTTTCTCTCTAGGATCTACTACAACGTCTCGGAGAAGCCTGTGGCCCTAGACAGAGTCTTCAAGGACTGGGTGCCCGGGGGCGTCGTTAGCTGCAGGAATTGTGGGGAAGTAAGTGCGGGCCGAGGCCCTCAGCTCCCGTCTTTAGAAGTCCTGATTCTGAAGGCCCAGCCTCTGCCCACAGGGTGCCCGCCCTCCCTGGGATGGGGGAGACAGCCCTGCCCAAGGAGCCCCCAGTCTGAAGAGAGTGGTCCAACCCCTATCTTGGGGAGCCCGCAGTGTGAGGAGGGAGGCAGCTCTGTCTGAGGTGGGAAACATAAGCCCCGCGTCCAGAGGCTCTGACTTGAGGAGAGAAGCCCAGTCAGGGGATAGACGCCCAAACCCTCCCGTCTCTGTCCCACCGCCAGCTCTGGGGTCTGCAGATGATCTACAAGTCCGTGAAGCTGCCGGCGCTCAAAGTCCGCGCCGTGCTGCTGCACACCCCGCGCGGGCGGATCCAGGCCAAGAAGTGGTCCTCCGTGCCCTTCCTGGTGCCTGACTTCGACTACGTGCAGCACTGTGCCCAGGCCCTGTCAGACCTCTCCCTGGGCTGAGCATCTTGTCGCTGCAGTACCTAGATCAGGCTGTAGGGGGCGCGAGAATCCGCAGCAACAGCAGCATCTTCCCTGAACCAAGTCGGTGCAGGTCCCTTCGTGCCGGGAGTCACCAGCTCGGGGCTTGCTGACCAGCCACAGAGGAACCCCAGGGGCCCAGACTGACTTCAACTTCCACATTAAGGAAGCAGCTGAAGGGCCACAACTCACCCCCTGGCCTCCCTGACACCCACACAGACACTTCTACACACTGGAGGGCATAGGAGGGGGGGGGTAAGAACTGAGGCAGAATGGCCACACTGTACAGTGGTGCCCCCTTACCCATGCTTTCGTTTTTGTAGATGTTTGTTACTCCCCATTAACTGCGGTCCAAAAATATTAAATGGAAAATTCCCAAAATAAATGATTTTTATGTTTTAAATTGTGCACCATTCTGAGTAGCATGATACAATTTCGCACCATCCTGCTTGGTCCCACCTGGGACATGAGCCGTCCCTTTGTCCAGTGTCCCCATGCATGTCTGGTGTATATGCTATCGACCTGGCGGTCACTTAGCCGTCTGGGTCGCCCGGTCGTCTGTCCAGGTTTCGGTGCTTGTGTTTGAATAACCCTGAGAGTGGCCTAACACCAATCACCATGCCAATGTCATTGCCCTCCATGGATCTCCTCACACACACCTAGAATCATCTCCGATCACAAGAAGGGGAGTATATACAGTAAGCTATTTTGAGAGAGACTACATTTACATAGCTTATTACAGCATGTGTTACAATTGTTCTGTTATTAGTTGTTAATCTCTTACTGTGCCTAATTTGTAAATTAAACTTTATCACAGGTATGTATGTATGTATAGGACAAAGCATAGTGTATGTAGGGTCTGGTACTATCTGTGGTTTCAGGCTTCCCCTGGGGATCTTGGAACATATCCTTCATGAATAAGGGGGCGACTATACTAGGAATCACTTGTTTCCCTTGGCCCTTTGACGTCCTTTTTTTTTTTTTTTTTTTGAGGCTCCCCATAAATTAAAAAAAAAAAAATAGCCGAAACCAGTTTGGTTCAGTGGATAGAGTGTTGGCTTGCGGATTGAAAGGCCCCAGGTTTGATTCCGGTCAAGGGCATGTATTATACATGGGTTGCGGACACATCCCCAGTTGGGGGTGTGCAGGAGGCAGTTGATTGATATTTCTCTCTCATCAATGTTTAACTATTTGTCGCTCTCTCTTCCTCTCTGTGAAAAATCAATAAATTTTTTAAAATAAAATAAAAAATAAAAATAAAAAAATAGAAAAATGGTGTCAAAAATATGTAGTATTTTTTAAAATATATTTTTATTAATTTCAGAGAGGAAGGGAGAGGAAGAGGGAGAGGGAGGGGGGAGAGAGAATGAGAGAGAGAGAATGAGAATCATTGATTGACTATCTCCTGCACACCACACTGGGGGGTTGAGCCTGCAATCCAGGCATGTGCCCTGACCAGGAATCAAGCCATGACTTTCTGATTCATAGGTCAATGCTCAACCACTGAGCCATGCTGGCTGGGAAAATGTGTAGTATTTTAAAATCACACTTGTTGAGGCATAATTGACAAACTACATATGTGTGGTGTTTGATTGACACATGTTAATGTGTATATGCTCTTCCACAATCAAGATAATTGAGCACAGCCATCGCCCTGAACACTCTCCTCGTGCCCATTAAAATCCCTCCCCCTCACTTCCCATCCACAATCTGCTTGGTGGTATGTTTTGGAGGTTAAAAGTGTTTTGTTTTTTTTAAACACCCCTTTTTTTGGTCATCATGTAACCTTATTTGGAGAAAGCATCAGAAGTCTAAATGTGAGAGCCATCGAAAATGTGAGGCCTTTCTGCCCCTGCCCCCACATGAAAGCGCCTAACCCCAACACCCCATCTCCCCAAACCCCCAGGTCATCACCCCGAACCCCCAGGTCATCTCCCCTGGGCTGGCAGAGGCCCAAAGGATTGGAGGGGTAGGCACGGGGGTTGGGCAAGTCATAAAGGCCTACATTTCCTGTTCTCATTTTAACAAGAAGCAAAGAAAGGCAAGATCTAGGTTGATTCTTCAGGGAAAGGGCTATTTCTGTAGTAAGAGGCCCAGCAGGCAGGAGTCACCTTCAGGAGGAGGGGAGGGGGGCGAGGGCAGAGACTTGAGCTTTGGGAGCAGCACAGCAGTTCTTCCTGCCATCTACCCTCTCCAGCTCCATCCTTGGTCCCGTCTCGGGGTAGATTTAAAAAAAAAAAAAAAAAAAAAAAAAAGAGCGCTCTCTCTTCCCCAGTATCTTCCTTCTTCAGCCCCGGTCTTCTCGGGTTGAAAGTTAAAAGCCCGGTGCTAGGCTCTTTGGTTCCCAGCGCCCTAAGAGAGTGTCCCCTTCCCTCCCAGCGCCCTTCTTCCCTAGGCTCTGGCTCCCAGAGTCACCCTTCTCCTCCAGTCCCATCGCCACCTCCCTGGGTCCCTCCTGCCCATCCGCTCCCGCTTCACCTTCAGTTGTCATCGCCCCGGCCAGCAGCGTGCCTGTTACAGGTCAATAAAATTAGCGGCCGGGGAGCAGAGGCAGGGGGAGGGCCCGGGGGTGCTAAGCTCGATGGCCTTGGACGCAGCTGGACGCACGGAGCCCGGACGCCTGTCATTCCAGGGCTGAGCAGTGACAGCTGAGGGACCTGTGCTGGCGCTGGAGTTGGGGGAGAAGGAGGGGGAACGTGCTGTTGCAGGGAGAGATGGGCTGAGGATACAGATGCCCAGGGCACCTAACGGTCCCCTCAGGGGCCTGAGCCCCTGGATGGGGGACCCCGACTTGGAGGGAGAGTCCATCGCGCGCCCACCTTAGCCCGAGAGAGCCTTCTGGAGCTCAGTTGGAAGGGGGAACTCGGGCAAGGAGGGGTTCCCGGGCTTGCTTCTTCGTGGGAGGGGTCTTCCTGGGGAGCCGCCGTCTCCAGGGCAAGGCTGCCTGAGGGAGGGAGGGTCCCGCGGTCCCCAGGACCCAGACATCCTCACTTCTCAGCCCTCAGAGCAGCCAGGGCTCCGGGCCTCCCTCGTGGCTCCTCCTCCCTCCCCCCCTGAATAAGCCGGTCCACCCACCCGCTGCGACTCAGGGAGGGGCTCCCCCTCCCAGGCCCCGCCCCGCCCCGCCCGCCCCGCCGGCCCGGAGCGCTGCGCTCGGAGCGCGGAGAGCAGGTGGCCGCGGCTCCGCTCTGCCCCGCAGGTAAGTCCGCGGCGCGGGCTGGGGACCCCGAGGCCAACACGGAGGGACAAGGCAGCCCCTGACCTCTGTCCGGCGCCCTTGTCCCAGCACGGGGGACCCCAAGGGGACCGCGAAGACACCCCTATCCGCCCCGGGCTCCGACGCGCTGCCTCTAGCGGGTGGGGCTCAACTCCGGGGAAGTTTAGAGGCTCCTGGGCTGCTCATCCCCATGCCAGGGCCGCCGGCGGGGGATGCGGGAAGGCAGAGCCGGGCAGTGGGCACACAGCTTTCTGGAGCAGAGCGGGAAGGTGCTGGGGATGGCGGAGCTCCGGGTGAGGAACCTCTGACTGGCGTGCCCCATGCCTCACCCCAGGGAAGCCTGCTATCGCCCCGACTCAGAGCGAGGGGGGTGACCCAGATGGCTCCTGTCCTTTGTGCGAATGCGGTAGGAGCCGGTGCACACAGCGCCAGCACACAGCACAGCTGAGCTGGGTTTTCTGAGGAGATCCAGGCACCTGCGCCACTTAATTGCACCTGGGTGCAGATATGCCTGGGTGAGGAGTAAGGGGTGAGGGGTGAGGGGTGAGGGAGCAGGGAGCAAGGAGCAGGGAGCAGGGAGTAGGGGTCGTCGGATTGCCTGAGGGACCTAGGGGCTTGGGGACGGATTAGAGTTTTTCTGTATCCATGTCCCAGGTGGGGAGGTGATCCCAGAACTGGCCCTTCCCGCAGACACGGGGAGCGTTTGCACCTTCCGTGGGATCTGGGCTGAAGGAGAGGGATCCTGCCTCTCAGCACCTCACGGAAGGCTTCCTGGAAGAGGAGGCCCTGAGCTGACAGCTCAGATGTGATGCTCGGAGCCACCAAGGAGAGTTGGACGTTGGGCCTCGGTGCTGGGGTTGAGGTCAAGCAGAGGACGCCGAGCTGTAGAACAGGCGGGTCAGGGCACTGCCATGGACCCAGCCAGGACCCCGGGACTGTCTCAGCCCTGAGGCAGGCCAGCACCCAAGCCTAAGGGGGCGGGCTTCCTGTGTCTAATCTCCCTGTTCCACTGGCTCCTCCCACCCAGCGCCCACAGTCACTGTCAGAAAGTTCTCCCTCACGTCCGACCTTCATCCCTTCGGCTGCTGGGCCAGCGTCTTGCTTCTGGGAGGCAGTGTGCCCCAGGGGGAACAGGGGGGGCCTAGGGGTCAGTTAGACCTGATGGAATTCTGCCACCTCTACCGGCTGTGTGCAGGTCACTCAGCCTCTTTGCGATCACTTCCCACCTGTAAAATGGGGATAATAATAGAACCCGCCTCATGGGGAGGCTGCAAGGATCAAGTGAGAATATGCTTAGCACAGTGCCTGGCGCCTGGGGAGGGCTCAGTCGGTATCAGCGTCCCCTCCGGGCATAGGACAGCAAAGCCGATCGGCAGGGGGTGGGGGTAAAAGTTTTTTTTAAAACTTGGCCAGCGAGAGCCGTGCCCTTCATCACCACCGTTCCGCCAACCCACACTCCTGCCGGCTCCTGGGTCTCTTCTGGGCCCGTGGGGGCTGCCCGGGACCCCTCCCCTCCTCATCTCTTAGCTGCCCTGTCTTTGTCTCCAGACTCAGGGGAGGGACCCAGCAGGGCAGAGCCAGGGGCTGCAGGGGCCCACTTCGGAGCACCCTGGCTGACACCCAACTGGAAAAATGCCCCTGTCGTCGCCTCCCCACCCTCCCCACCTCCAGAAGCCCGCACGTTGGGATCGAGCTGCACTTTTCCCGGGAAAATAAATAATATAAGTTTCTGAAAGTTCTGCTTGGGGACCGTCCAGGCAGCCCT